TTTTATTTAATAATTTTTCAACCTTTTAAAATTGACATTTTATTCTAGAAACTAAAATAGTTTTTTCATGGTGTAGTGAAAAGCATTAAAGAGAAGAATATATTTACAACTTTTTACGGTGACATTATTCAATGACACGTTATATTAATTCAAACAATTGAAAGTAAATTGAATCAACCAAAAGCACCGAAGCAAAATGTAGAGTCGCGTCACGCCAGTCTTTGTCATTTACTTGGACAAAATTGGCTATATAAACAACCCTCAGTCATAAGACAACAAAATTGTTATCTTCAAAATTGGTCCGCGGCCGCCGCCCAGATGTGTGAGGCTATTTTAAACTCGTAATAACCGTTGTCGACACGTGTGCGACGACCATTACCACATATTACAAAAAATGAAGGAAAAACAATAAAATTCTAAGGGGACCTCGCCGTACTAAAGTGAATGGACGTCGGTGTTAACTTATTTACAAATAGAATCATTGTACAACACATTTTCGATAAATATCAGTTAATTTAGGTGCTATTTCGGAAATTAGATTTGTTCTATGTATCTTTATGTTAAACAAAGATATTGCGTGGTACATTAACATGTAATAATAAGATTCCGATGGATATTCAAAATTTTCCATTTATCAGTTTTGAAATTATTGTGAAACAAAAACTTTACTGAAGGTTATTATTATACAGGTTTTGCGTACTTGTATGACAAAAATCTACGATAGTGACTCGTTTGGCTCTTGCAGCCTGTCGTGATCTTTTTATATTTGAAATAAATTTAGTAAATGACAGATGTATATTTATAAGAGCAACCTCTAGAGATCCTTAATCATTCTTGGGGGAGGAATCTTCCGAATGAGTAGTAGAGTTTAATCAATGTGACGATTCCAAGTGTAACAATTGCTAACCTATGAAATAAAGATTATTTATATATTATTTCAATAAATTACACAAACCTTAGATATATCTATAAGTAGGTATGTGCAGATTAGATTATTTTCGAAACATTTTAAGTGTTTTATAACTTGCACAACGGTCATGCCTTTTATAATGAAGGTGACCGAGGTCCGGGTGTCAATGGGCTGAGAATGTGAAGAAAGACAGCAGACTTAACCACTTGAATAAACAATACACACTTCCACACAATATACAGTCCATATAATAGTAATAAATTTAGTCGCATTTGTAGTCATAAATAATATTATGAAACAGAGAACAAGTGCGTTGGTTCTTAACACAAAAAAACGATGATCAATTGAAGCGCAAAATTTTAATCAACGCATTCCCCCGATCGGTCAATCGGTACCCCGTGTCGGCCACAAAGCAACTATGACAGTTATTCAACTGCCCTCGCAGTGCATCCCGCCACAATCAATACCACACAATCCTTTAAAATACCTTGCCAAAGGGGAAATAACGAGCCACCCACGCTTATCAAACTACATCGAAAATTTTCAAACTTCAAATAAAGTATAAATACAAACTCAACGCAAGCAATCTATCACAGCATAAATCTATGATATATTTACACACAGTGAATGCATTATCACCATTCCTAAATCAGCTATCAACGGACTCTTTTCACTAAAAGGGTGCGCTTCACTATAGAAAAGGTTGACCCCTCATAAAGACTTATCACCTCATATACAAAATAAGGTTGTACTAATCCCTGAAAGATGAACGATGTGGAATCTAAACGTCTTTAGCTAGAGATGAAAATTGCGTGAAGCAGTTACTGGTAGATGGGATCTCGTCAAAGTTAGCGGTAGTTTTTTTCACAACAATCTCCTCTCGGACTTAACTTACGTTATCTCGCCCACGAACGTCACAAGGAATGGAAACCCACACGTACATAATAAGGACGATATTTCTAAAGAAATTTAAATTTGCCCGCAAAGGTCCCGAGATAGGATTAAAGATTGGGCGACGAGATGGCCCTTTTGTGGGCGACCCTTAAGAAAACATGTCTTGATATGGAAATATCTTGGACGTAACTTAATCGAGAAATCATTTGCAGGGGGCGATTATTTATCAGGAAAACGGTCTATGAATGCGTAATTAGCCAGGAAGTAGGTATCTATGAGACTCTCCTTTATGTTGACGTTTATTTTGCATGACAGGGTTTGTAAAAAGCGTTCAATTGTTTAGCCACATCTGACCGATCGTATTGCGGTGCGGCAGACCGTGTTGGTTCAAGTTTAAAAGGATAATTTTATCTGCGGCCGGAGGGTTGCGGGCGAAAGCGATATGATTGCGAACATCCGACCACAAATTATAAATATGAGAACTCTAGATCAATAAAACAAAAACAAAATAGATATAAAAAGTGACATATTGAAGTAAAGTATTAAAATTTTAACTTCAAAGGAAAATGAAATGTTAATCCGCGTCCGAATGACGTTGAAACGAATCTATCACGACAAATATTTAACATTACTACGATCCTCATAATTTAAATACGAGACAGCTATCCGGTCCGACAATCCTTCATTAATTTGTAAATCAAACAAGAAAGTCCAAATACTGGACCCGCCATGCACTTGAATCAATATTTGATTTGATACAAATAAGTGGCGGCCATCGGTTCTGCACTATTGTGATGATAATGACTATAGTGTCGTTTGTATCAATATGTCGAGTTCTACCGTTTAGCCAGTTCAACGCAATTGGAAAAGAATGATTAAAAAATATATAGAAACATGTTTTATGGGATCTTCGCCAAGCCCTTGTACTGCTACATACAATCGAAAGATGTAAAGAGCTCGAACATATCGATGGCGTTGTTCTAAATTTAACAATTAACAGCATAGTCAAAGGACACGCGATAGGCACGAGACATCTTCCCCTCACCTTTCAGTGAAAACGACGTCACGTCCAAAATTAAAACCCACTTATTTAAAACCCGCCACTTAGCCACCTTCCCGCTTCGTACAAAAACTAAAAATATCCTCGACCATTGTGTCATGCTCAAAGAAGTTCCATAGGTCACGGCGAATGCATAAGCGTGTACCACGTGTCAGAAACACGCCAAACATTTTTTATATTTGAAAAAATTATAAAGACCTTTTCGAACAATGGGGCCTCGGTAGCATCTTTGACAATTATAATATCATTGTCAACTGATCACCAAAAGCTATTAACGCCAGTGACATGTCCTTTCACGTTCGACTCTAAATAAATACCGTAAGAGTTGAATATTCAATGACCATTTAACAAAACTAGAGTTCTTTTATCGATATCGTACTCCCGGTTAACACAAGGGTCATCACAAAAGGCACGAGATAACAATACGCGCACGTCAAACGTGTGCTCATGCAAATAATTTTTTTTCCAAAACATCCCCTTTATCTGTCCATGGAGCAATGGGGTTAATTAATATGTACAAAGTAATAGAATTAAAATTAAGATCCCTTTTTAAAATTGGCATGAGGTCGCGACTTACTGTCACCATTAGAATTATGTCCTTGTTTTGACAATGAACTTCCGCATAAATGCGGTTTGAAGTATAAGCAGATTTATGAGATTGAGTCTCTTGTTTCTAGTTATCAATTTAATATGTTATGATATTTTATTTTGCTGGGACCCTCATGGGTTATTGCATGCAGGTAGTTTGACAGCTCACTCGAAGGGGTTATGAGCGCTTAGACGCAATAAGCTGAAACAACTGGTGTTGGAGCCAAACCTGCAATTGACATTTGGATGATAGCGCTACAGTATTGCCGTGGCAGCTCAATTTCTGTGTCATACTTACGTTGCCCTGAGACTTTTACTTTTGACGTAATAATAAAATTCTACGTTGTAGATACACAGCGTTAGCGTTGACGTTCATACTTATTTCGTTGATTAATCTTTCATAATGAGAAGCCTTAAATAACCTACAACACAATGTTTATACATTAAAACGTGTTCTATTTTATTGTAGACTACACTATACGTTAACTTGCATATTGAAAATACGAGTAAAGTAGCATGCATATAAATACATAATATATCTACTAATTTCCTGGCTTGACAAAGCAGTCGACAAAATGCGGGTTGAAAATGATGAGCGGTGCACAATTTTCGGGTTTAAGAAAGCTTTTGTTGTGCAACGGTTTAATACAAAAGTGTCAAATGACGCCACATCTGCTCGCACAAAGGGTTACGCTCGCCGATAGATTATTTTTCGAACCAGTCACCCCCGCAAGATTGCTCGCTTATACAGATGTTCAGAGATTTTTTCCTTTTCAACTTTAATTTTTTAAAGAATTAGTGAAGCGAGGCTTAAAAGATTTGCCCCGTTCGTAAAAATAAAACTTGAGAGATCGAAAGTTTTTGCAACTAAATCTACAGTTTTTGGTTGAACAACTATTAGTAACCGAAAGTTAAAATAAATGCGTAAATTTCTGGAACTATCTCTATATCTATCTATGCTAAGGAAGGCAAGATATTAGAACATTTTAAAACGAAGCGAAACACCCTGTTTCATCCATAAACCAGTGACTGACGAGATTAGATTGCGATCCAAAAAGTATGTGTCGACAATGACGTAAGCATTCTATGAACACAGTCCAGCATTGTTGTTGTGCAACATCTTGCATGTAGCAGGGACAAAAGACTCCACGATAGAATTGTCTCCAAAGATCAAATCCTTTTCTTCCGCCATAAGATTACGGGAATCATTAATAAAATACTAAATACCGGACCGTGAAAAAGCGATGATGTGGAAGTTAGGAATAAAAGGCATTTTGTCAGACGCACGTGTCATTTAGACGAGAACTATGACTGATCTTGAACGCTGAGTCAATTCCTTGGAAAGAATTTCGATCGTTAGAAATTGGACAACGGAAATATATATTTATAATTCTTCGACTGCTGCTGTCAGTACCACATAAGTAGTCACATTAAAGTACAATATAAGCTTGCACAGCACTCTTGGATATTTTTCACAACAGATATCTCAAAAATTCATATGCGCACGTAGTGATAAGTTTCTTGATAGTACAAACTATTAGAACTTACCACTGTGCATAGTGTTGGACTCAGCATCAGCGACCCTTGACTTTTTTTGGTCTTCGGGTGAGCCTGAGGTATCCATATGTTCCTGTTTGATTTTGGGCTTGATGTCCTCATCAGGAGAACTTGAGGGCATTGGAGATGTTGATGCTCTCCTTTTAGGAGTAGAAGTTTCTCTGTCGGCCTCTGTTAAAGAGACAGCTGTTTTCAGATTTCATTGAATATAAATCTTCAAGAATTGTACATAAGGTGCAGTGAAATTTTTAAAGAGGATGTCCGACTATATTTCTTGGAGGGGTAGTATTTAATAGAACCTCAAAGTGAATAGTTTTTATTTACCATCTAATAGTCGTTTGGGTGTACTCGAAGCTCCGCCATCCTCCAGCAAATCAGGAGGCGCCATGGATGGACTGGCCAGTGGTGGTGTATGTACTCTGCTGCTTGGAGGTCTTCTGGCAGTGAGAAGAGACGGTCGTCGACTGCTGGAGTTAGAAGTTGACATCTGACCTGGTCTTGAACCATCTTCTGGATCTGAATTAGGACCTAAGAAAAAATTCTCGAGTTAGTTGCGGTAATTAAGTGTGTGCGGTAATTTAGTGCGTCTTTTAAATTTATGCAATGAACTACAACGATTTAAAAAAGATGAGATATGATTTTAAAATACTAACCAGCACTATAACAGTGATAAGAAGTCAAATCCTTATCACAGGAGGAGATCTTGTGCTGAATGAACCGGACAATGTCAGCCAAAGCGAAGGCTCTTCGACAAGCGCCGCAGGTCAGAGTGTCTGAAGGGACTCCAGGTGTTGGGGAGCCCCCTCCTTCAGCCGCGCTGTCCGCATCCGCTGGGAAAAAGTAAGAACTATTTAGTGTCTGATTAGGAAAAATACCAGGTTTCAAAGGTAGGAATATAACGGAAAATAAGATTTAAAAAAAGGGAAAAGTTTTGCCACTAGGGTAAAAAATGCCATGCTCTCACACAATGGCCTACAAAAACACGACTAAAGTTTTGCTTTGGTCATTCCTTTCAACCGAAACGAATTTTACGTTTGTGTGTAACTTGACATTTGTTGTAGACGTGGGACTGTTTACCATACATAATTAATTAGACGTCGCAAAGTTACTAGACAAAGAACAGTCGTAGTCGTTTCAGAAAACATCCGAAAAACACGTGTTGTTTAGTCAGCTGATGTTTAATGCGAGAATGTTATGCTGAAGAAACTTGGAATCGTGTTGGACGAAATTCAAGGTCAATATTAAAAAGATATTCTCTCTTTTCTTTAGTTCGAAGTCGACATATGGACAATGACACTTTCTTTAAACCTCTAAGTGTTCAATTACGTTTAATTAAGGGTATTCCCGTCACGGTCCTGAGGTGTCAGTTGGGGGTTTTGACCACTTATCTTGGAAGGACAAAAGAAATAATGATCGTTTGCGGTCCGCTTTTCTGAAAGGGTTATTTTGTACAATTTGTTTGGACTCCACAGATAATACGTTTTTTGTTGATTGCTTTTTAAAAAGCAGATGGTTTGAATCAGTCCCTTTTATTATTTTGCTATGAATGTTTAATATTTAGTGTTCACAATAACGTTAAATTGTTTTTATGTAAGATAATTTAAATGAACTAAGAGACGAAAAAGATCAATTTTAAAGATTGTCATGTAGATATTAAAGTAAACAATCGTATAATAAGAAATGTTTGATGTGTACATACTTATTTTAATTGCCTAACAAATAAGGCCTTCGTTGGAATTGACGCCCAAGAATTATAAAGGCGCTTTCACATTCAAGTCGCGCACAATTGGTCGGCACATCAAAGTCGTTCACGAGCTAATTTCGAATAAGTACTATGCAGACGCCCTTACATTCCGGCGGCTCTTATTATTCCTTCAATTTCTTTGTGAAGAAAAGTAGGCCGTACATTTCTTAATATACACGACACACTACAATATACCTACAGGGGTTGATTGTAACCTGAGAGCTAAAATTAATATAGGGAAAAAACTCCGCGATTCGACCTCTATGTTTACCGTTGTACCTAAGTTTGTTTAGGGGGTTTATTATGTAAATGTGTCTTGTTATTGACGTGTTTTTTACAGATTTATTCAATGTGGCTCGTGGCTAATGGTTTGGTAAAACACTTCCTGTAAAAAAGTTTACTTCCTGTTCAGAGGAACTATTCTGATATCACTCCTTTATTATAACTTTTATTAAACACCTGAAATTAAAAATATACAAAAATATTACAGAGGCAGGAAAGCTGGAAATATTCCCGCTTTTAAATTCTAAAGCTGCTATATAAAGGGTCGTCATAAGAATTCATCTCCAATCGCATCAAACGAAAGTCCACCTAAGCGTGATCGAACCCTATCGAATTCCATTTACGTGGAAATCGGGATTTTAATGCACAGTGGTTCGGACAAATAGCGGCCGGCCCCACCCACTAGCACGCGACTGGACAGTGGTCACGCCACACATGCGCTCTAGACAAAACTTTACACCCACACCTTTGAGTATTTGATTTCACGATTGTGTTAAGTGATTTATTGGATCTATTTGAAGTATTGTCAGTGGTTGGGAGGTGTTAATTTATGGGTTTTTATGGTCGCCTTGTTACAACCACAAGTCATTGATAGATTTAACATCTGTATTAAGTTATATTTAAAAAGATATTTTAAATTTATTGTCTTTTGCATTTTGTTATATTACTATGCATGTATTTTCTTCATTTTCATTACTTACTTCGCACTTTCACAAATTGTCAACTGCGAAATGAGCATATGAAAATGTGAGCACATTATTATTTGTGGTTTATTGAAAAGAGTCTAGTCACAAGGATAGTCCCAACGCCTCAGGTGATGATGTAGGGGGAAACCACCCTCTAAAGGGACGGAGAATCGGAAAGTTTAAATTAGCTCGTTACGACACACGCCGACACGCCGTTATATTCCGAGTTTTTGTTTTTTCCACAGAGAAAGGTCACCACATTCGGGTTAGAGTCGCATCAAAGTTACTTACAAAAGCAAAGTTTGAACGGTTCGGGGTTTAGGAACGCACTCACGACTGCCTTCCCAATTACTAACAACATTTTGTTCTTGTGACATCGCGGGATGCACCATTGTTCAATTTTGTTATATGTGAAATACGTAATTTTATTTTAATAATTTTATTCTAATGAACTTTTAATACTAGAAGATTGATTATCTACTCATCCATAACGGTAACAAAAAATATGTCTAACTTTGACACAATTATGACCACCGTGACCGATATTAATTGGCAGGGGATCAGCCAAAAATCTATTGTACTCATACAAAATCTAACGATTTTCACAACAATGACTCAAATAAAAATAATAAGAATCGCTATCGAATGTTGCGGGGGTGACTATTAGGTACTCTACCTTATTATTATTGGTGTAATATAACGTATTTCGATTGTCTATTTTGTGTCTAAAGCTGTGAATTAACTCACTACAATAAATTTTTAATGCAACCGAAAATCACATTCGTTTACTGTATAGCGTATTTACATTAAAAATCTGATTTGTAAATGATGAGTGCCTTGAGATCTGTAACAGAGGTAGCCAAGTATGGACCAGTCGCTCGCTAAAGGTAGTTAACTTGTACCTTAACTTAGCCAATCTGCAATTACACAAATCTTCCTTTTATGAGAGTAAATAAATATTTTACTATTATATCGTAAATACTCTGTATGTATTTTGTGAGACGTGAAGCAGGCATTCAGACATTCAAACGAGTAACTCATAAAGGTTATTTAGCTTTATACTCATAATAGTAGGTAAAAAAAGTTCAAATTAAAACCATCATCAATACATTCCTTCTATCTCCTCCTCTTCCTCCTTATCGTCCTTCTCTAGGAAGAGGTTTGACGCTGCAGTTTGTTTTTAAGGGTGCTTTGCTAAGTAGATTTCGTAACCGATGTACGTAATTTAGAAATTAAACACATTTCCATTGCGCCATAGAGATTTGAATTTGAAAGTAATAATAAATAATAACTTATGCCAATTTTGACCTAGATAGCTAGTAGATAGTAGATACTGTAGCGTTCTAGAGCTAAATGGCGTGTCTATCGCCCAGCTATGTTTTCAAGTACCTTTTTGAAATATTTTTAAAATTAAAAAGAATTATACATATTTATAAACATTTGAAAAATAAACCAAAACCGTTAAGGACACTGTGTGTCTCTAAAACTAGGTGTTCGGACTAGTTTGAATCTGAGTATATTAATTAATTATATTTTAAATGAACTTACTTAGAGGCCAAAGATGATTTTGCCTTTTGGAATGTCAATTGTTGTTTTTCATTTTTTTTCTCAATCTACCCCTCATTTGAAGGCTTGAATGGAATTTTGACAGCGGTTTCTTCGACAACAACTTTATTCAGGGCAAGTTGTCGGAAGTGGATATACGTCTCAAAAGAACTTTAGAAATGCATCATGGCGGTAAATTTAAAGGCTTTAGAAATTATTTTATTTGTTTTACTGATGTACAGAATTTTAATTTTGCCTATAACTTATTTCATCGTAACTTCACATCGTAAAAAATCTATTAAAAATTGGGTATTAGGTTTTATGATGGGTATTCGTTCGTAAATGGAACTCTTTTTACGAGTCTAAATCTATGTATCTAAATTGACTGTCTGCCATGACCATGGGGTTTGTAAAGAGCCCAAAACGTTGGTTTATTTCAAAAAAAGATTTTTTAAGAAAAAAATTTAGAAGATTCTTACCACAATATGATATTTTTTTATATTCCTGATGTTTCGGAACGGTTACACGCACCATGGTCACGGATTGACTGGCCAGTGGCAGATGACAGACAGCTTTGAGAATAGACATTATCTGCCTACACGTAAGGCGTAATGTGAGCTAATAGCAGTAGAGCTCCTTATGAAAGATTTCTTCCAGGGAAGTAATGTAATGTGAGTATTAGTGCGTGACGGTTTTGAAGGGTAAGAGTGCTGGTGAAATTACAGGCACAGTGGATTTGCCAACTTATGTGCCAGGGTGACGGGCGCAGTGGCAGTACCCCTCAGATCTTTGTGAGTTAAAGCACTGGGTGGCACTGCAACTGTCACGGGCAGGCGTGTCGCTTACCACCAGGCCCACGACTTGTTTGTCCTGTCACTTGATATCATAAAAAATTTCCCTCTTTCAAAGTAACTCGTAATTAGTGACAATCATTTAGTAAATGTTTACGAGATCCTTAAAAATCTACATAACGTCGCCTTGCTTTCTCAAACTCGTATCTAATAAAGAGTGATATCCAGGAGATGGCAAAGCTTTCTATTTATTTTAAATTTCTTATCAAGAATGCATTATTTTAAGAATAGGCAAAAGCCAGTGTGTATGAAGGAAACGTGATGTGAAATCATACTGCAAACTTTATATATACAATCCATTTTTTGCATTTCAGTGACTTTGTGCTTTAAGATACGAGTTTGAGAAATTAAGACGACGAATGCAAAAGTAGTTAAAATATTATAACGAAAAAGATAAATAAAGTATACTCAAGCGTGTATTGTTCAATAATATTATGTTCATTCTGTAGCCTTAGTTTCGGTATTTAAGTTTTTTTAAATTTGATTGTGCGTATTTTTTAAATAAATTTTACTGTAATCTTGTGACTACTAAAACTTTTAGTAGCAGTACAGCTTCTAGTGAAAGAGTTCGTACAGGGAAGTATTGCCATATCACACATTTCTGCAGTATTATGAGCATTACTGCGTCCCGGTTTTGAAGGGTAAGGTTTCTGGCGAAATTATAGGCACATGAGACTTGTTAGACTTATGTTTGTGGGTGACGGGTGCAGTCGCAGTTTCTT